TTAGTTTTTACCAAAAGTACCAACCAACCAATTAGCCGAGGACAATAAAATGAAAAAGCGGTAAAATAATCCTAGTAACATTTTTTCCTACGGCGTTAATCTTTACTAATTGAGCAAGTATGCAAAGACCAAAGTTATGTAAGGCCAAAAGTAAACAGCTTTTTTTCAAATATCTCTATATTCTTTAAAGAACTTGTACTGCAAATACTACTATATTCATTTAATACATTACCCTCTAATATCATAAACAACATGTCAAATTTTATTATACACAAAGAAAAAAAAAACTAAACCTTTTAATGTAACACCAAATACAAGTAACATGCATTTAAAAAAAAACGTTATAAAACGTCTTCTTTTTGTTTATATATGTTGCTTTCTTTGTAAAACTTCTAAATACAATATCTTTTACAAAAATAATAAAACTATTTTGATTTAAAACGTATTTAGTACCTACCAAAAGCTTAAGAATAATCATGGGTTACCATTAAAAGTTCAAGTATTTCCGATGTCTCTAGCAGTTGAATACGAAAAAACGATGGAGCTAGGAGATGAATGATAGAAGGCTACTTTTCAAAGGCTACGTGAAGACCTACGAATTTAATCGCATTTGGCTAGTTTTGACGATGTTGAACTTAGGTCTGAGTTGATTAATAATGTGCTACTCACATAAACGCGTTTTTTTAGTCTTTCAATATATGTGAGTAAATAGGTTATTAAGAATGATATTCAGAAATGTTTCGGTGGTTTAGTAGTTAGCATGTACGGCTGCAGATCCAGAGGTTGTGGGTTCGAGTCCCAGGTCGGACCATGTTTATTAATTGAATTATGCTGTAAAATAATTCTTAGAAGTAGCCCGGAGTTAGAAAGTTGGTCGTGTGCCTTACCTTTTACTGGTCGTGCCAAGTATCGTCCGAAATGACTGAGTGAAAGGAATAAAGAGTGTAATTGTATTACATACTTATTTGTGCATTATAATATCTTCTGCGTAGACGGCTAGTCTCAATGGGATAGGCCGAGTAATATCCAAATAAAAATTGGCACAAGTTTGGTATATGGGACGCGGCCCCTGGAAGAGTGAGTGGTATTTTTGAATAGAGGAGGTGACATGGAGCTCAAATATATAAAAAATATTTTGAGGAAACGAAGGAGTAAAAAGTTATGGAGACTTAAAGTTACAACATTTCCATACATTTCTATACCGAAATATACCGAAATAAGTCATTACAAAAGATAAACATACCTTTTAATGAATAGTAAACATCCTTTTTCGTGTAAAATCTATATTTTCATAATAATTAAGGCTTAATTCTATTAATATTTCGATAATTTCACTAAAAACAATAATCTAAGCAAAATAATCTTAAATTTTGACAAAACTGTCAATTTCTGTTTTATATACCGCTTTCAGAACATTATCGCTTAATAATAAGTTATGAGTTATGCATATTAAAAGTGAAAATTGTATCAGATTACTAAGATTTTAAAATCGAAATGTTATTTTCAATTCATGTCTGCATTTACGAATTTTAATTTTATTTATGTAAAATATTGAGTAGTATAACTAATTTACAATTAGCAAAAAATTTTAAACCATTATTTGATTTTATTATATGTGAATACTTTTCAGTATTTTTTTCGGGTAGTCACAAAGTAATACGAAGTTTGATAGTTTATGTGAATACGATCTGTACTCATTAAACGCGTTTAGGTTTTCATATTTTTTGCGCTTTTTCATAGTTATTTTTCTCATATTATTTTCTAGTAGTTTTCAGTTTTTGTTAATTTTCGTATACGTTTGTTTCTAGTTTTTTTGTTTTAAAAGTATTACTATAGTTTTAAGTGTTCTTACTGTTTTGAGTGTACTCATGTAGATTGTAAACGTAAGTAGACATTTTTTTTTAAATCTATATGTATTATTTATTTTCGATTAAGTGACAGTCCGACTTGGATAATTTAGGTTGAGAAGGTAACTAAGGCGGGAGCGAAGCGTAGCGTAGTTCCCGCCTTAGCCTTCTCGTTTGGTCTTTTTTTTCAAACCCAGAGCCCCTGCTATCATTAGTGATTTATATTAATTTTAAAAAGTGAGGAGACCCGACCCGAAATAAAAAAAAGTGTAATACATATAAATATGAATACAACATATCTAATTAGTTAACTATTGATTATAGGTATACATAAGCTTTTAAGCTTATCTAGAAGCTGGATAATTTATCGCGCATGTCCCGATTTAGTTTTATTAATCATTATCTCCTAAGCTAAATGACCAAGTGATATACAAATCTCTGATGATAAAAAAGTATAGGGATTCAGTAGATTGAATAGTCTATACATTACTTAGATAAATCACCACACGGAACACTTAAATAAAAATAAAACAACTACATCTGCTAAAATATAAAAGTTAGATGTATGGGTCGCGAGCTAGGATTGTTGCGTTATGCGTTATTTTATGTATCTACATACTCGTATCTACAGCCCTTTATGCAGCGCACGTCGATAAAGCAATCACGAGCTTTTTCCGCCACTCGACTTATTAATACCGTAAATGCTAAGCTTCTATAAGTGGTAGTTAATTTTCATTGCACTAAATTATTTTTGATAGTAGCCGGATATTTCTTTTTTTTTATAAACGTTAAAAATGAGGAGGTACTCTATTCGGCTATTTTTATTATATATTTATTTCAAATAAAATAAGAATTTTCGAAATCGTTTAATAAATAAGGGAGTTCTCAAGTAACAAACATAAAGAAAATGCAACCGAATTGAGAAACTCCTCCTTTTTCGGAAGTCGGTTGAAAATAGCCTAAGTCACTCCATAAAACTCATACGTTAAAATCGATCCAGCCGTTTCGGAGATTAGCCAAGAGAACAAACAGACATACTAAAATTAAAAAAAAATCTTATAAGTACCGTATATATAATTTCATATTTTAGTAAAAACCTGTAAGTATTACAAACAAACACTTCGAGTTTATTTATTTGTATAGTACTTTCTTATATTTACGCGAATATTTGACATTTTAAATAAAACTACCTTTCCGAATTTTTTCACGGATTTATTTGGATTTTTGGTTCCCGACGTTTCGAATGCTTTACAGCAATCATGGTCACGGGAGAGACTGAGGTGATAGATGCCTCTAAGGTATTATATAGTTAAGAAAGTACCTTACAATATTTTTAAATTTTAAACATTTTTATAATTTTAATTACTTTTATAATTGAATATAGAATATTATTTATTTAATTTTAGCTGTTATATACAATTTCTTAGAAAAAAAAATATAATTAATAATTTATATTTAGTGTTGCCATTATTACATTTATAACCATCCACCGTGAGCATGATTGCTGTAAAGCATTCGAAACGTCGGGAACCAAAAATCCAAATAAATCCCAAAAAAAAATCCGAAAAGATACCTAGTTTTATTTATTTGTATAATATGAAAATATGAAAATCCTCATCCATTTTTATACTTTGAAGTCAGCATACATTATAAAAGCTTTTTAATCCTTTCACATATTATGTAGTATGTTTTTAACATGTTTACCTAATATAAACATAATATAGTACATACCTCTATACGTCTTGACAACTGATATTTTTTTGGCAGAACCAAATGTTAGCGTAATCTAATTTTATACTTGCGTAATTTAATATTTAAAATATTTTATTATAGAAATAGGAAACTGTATATATTTCTGTATAGGAATCAAAAATATATACTCATTTTATTAAAACAACAAGTATTATAAAACGTCAAGGAGACAAATGCAAAATGTTTTTTATGTGACATTATCTACATGAAAACGGCTTCAATGTCATTCGGTTGTAACTTAATAACTCGGCTCATTATATTAGAGTAATTCTAACCCCAAAAATTATGCGGGATAATTCCGTCATCGTTTAGCGCGATTTTTTACTTTGAAAAACACAAAAAAATCCTATAAGATAGGGAACAAAAGATTTATGGGAACTTTAACTATACGTCAGGCATAATTACAATATTACAATATAAATCATAAAAAAACTTTTTGAACTAAGATATTGAGTTTAATAATTTTATAGTATCTCGTTTACTATAAAAACTATTATTTCATAAAACTAAAATATAAGTCAAATTTTTTCCCTTTGTTCCCATAGCTTGTTAAAATTCTACAGCTTTTATGCTCCTTAGTCAGTGTACTTACTCTTTAATGTTTACTTAATCTTCTTTGTCTATACAAAGTACTACTACAGCAAATTAAGATGATGACCATAATATTATAATCCAAGTTAAAACTTGTATGAAAATAATACAATTTTAAAACTTGTACGAAAATAGTACATGTACAAATCAAAAGAATAAAAAAACGTTCATTGCAGGACAACCCTATTATTTTTTATTTTTATTATTTGTTAGAATGCACACGTTTGATCTGTAAAAGTTAAATTCGACCAAGTGTTACGGTTCAAAGGATACACCTCTAAAAGGCAGGGCAGTTGGATGGACAGACAACGCGGGCTTAGCAATTATATAGTCTCGCCTAGTTTCTTTGTATATGGGACCCTATTAATTAGTTTTTTTAGAAATATATAATAACTATCATTGACAGCGATTTTGATCGAAAGTATATATATTAACTGTAGAGGAAGTAGCGTTTTTTCCATAATCTCCGTATAATGTGAATGTATGCCGTGTTTGTTTTGCGACACAAATTGTTACCCCAATAGGTATATAATGGTCATCTTTAACTCTTTTTATTGTAAATTATATGTATATAGATAATATTTGTTATATTGCACTTGAATAATACTGTAATAATTTTAATAATAATTCATTTATTTTTGTTTCAGATATTAATAATGAAACAAAATCCCGAGCCGCCATTAAGTTTAGTTCAACGTTAAGTCTACATAAAAATAATAAGCAATGAAAAAATTGAAAGCGTGCAAATGTGTGAAAATTACGGAATCATAGACCATTTGAGTGTCGCAGCTGAGAGATATGCCATAGACAATGAACAAACTTCTTGGAGCGGCTATAGCGTCGGCGTTACTGCAAATTCTACTTTGCTATACCGGTAATAAAATAATGTCTTTATATAAATTTTGATTCTTTTGTAGTATAAATAGTATTTCTTGTTTTAAAATAGCATTTACTTATTTTGAAAAGTGAAAATGAAAATAATTGATCAAAGTGATATCCAACCATAATTTAAGGATAACATTTAGAGTCAGTCTTCTCAAAAATATCAAAAACACAATTCATATGTTTACAACATCCAAAAGCATAAACAATAGAGTTCAATTTTTATTTTGGTTCAATGAATAGTACTGTTGGTACAAATAAATGGAATACCATTCATAGAATTGATCAAAACAACTAAACTTTGTAAGGACAAACAAGTTCTTTGTTATATTTTCCATTACTGTATACACAAAAAATAAAATTTAATATTGTCTCAACCATTTCGTATATTACTACAAAGGTAAGATAAATATCCTTTTTTTAGCTTAAATACATTACATTGAATCACGGTGAAAATCAGTAGGCAAGACTAGACGGATGTTGTATTAAAAGTCTTGCAAAGCATTTATACTGTAAAGGATTTGAATTTTTTTTGTAATAATAACTACCTACATAAATAATTTAAGAATTGATCAAGTGGGATTAGAATGGAAAAATGATCTGAAAACGATCGGAATTTAACTATAAATGTATATTTAATTCTTGGACTAGCAAGCACTGAGAAATGAAATGGAGAATTGGACTGCTTAATAAAATAAAAAAATATAGATTTGGCTTTCCCTTAGTACGACGTCAATTTAAATCTTTCAATCAAATCGATTTTTTGTTTCTTTGTTAGTAACTTCCCCTTTGATTTCTTTTTACATTAAAGATTCCAAAAATTATTCCATATTGAAACGTTATTTTTCTGTAATAGTGATAGCATTATAGTTCTGCAAGCGACGAAGAATAGGAGATAGGCGTGAGGGTAAGCCCGGAAGCAGCTGTGTCGTTCGCGTGCTATTTACCTATTTATCACTAAGCTGATTATATATAGGCTCACTGTGATGTGTTTTATGACCTTGTTTGAGTCCGCTTTGTTAATTGTTGACTGTAACAATGTATCATTATGTTAGAATTGTCTTGAAATAGCACTTAATGAAATAATGAACTTCTGTTATATAAATCAAAAACATATATGTGAAAATGGGAGCCAAGTTCTGTAGATAATGCTTTTTTTTCATAAGAACATTCTAAAATAAATTTAAAACACAATTTCTTATTTTTTCTGCAACAAAATTGTTTGCTATTTAAAAAAAGAACTTTTTAAATTTGAACAATCGAATTATTTACATAGAGTAGTAGTAGTATAACTTAGGATAAATTGAAGTTCAAGATTTTACTTGGCTAGTTTTTACCTTGGTTAGTTTTTTAGTGACAAATGTTGACTATACAATATAAACAGTAACCTGCGTATAGCCGAATATTAGTTATAGTTTATTATTCATAATTCCAAAGTGACATGTTTAATCTTTTTTTTTCATTTTTAATTTTGCGACTATTCGTTAGTGGATAAGGTGGAATAGAAAAATGTTATATTTAATCATCATGGAACCTTTTCTCCTTAGAAAGAAAAAGTTTTTGCTATTACTATGATTGCTATTGCTATTATATTTCAAAACGCACTACGTGTTAAGATTTTTATATTATGTTTTGGAAGGCGCAAGATGTTAAAAAAATTATTAGTTTTTTTTTAAATAAAAAAAATACGGTTTTCGGATTTTTCCCTTTATATGTACATGATTGTACATTATCCATCTGACACCAAATTTCAACTTACTAGTATATGGAAGTGAGTTAGGTTTTACTACTATTTATGTCAGTCAGTCAGTGACAAAATGCCGATTTTTAGACGTTTAGAGTTATTACGAGGTGAAAAGTGGCTCCAAATAGTTCGTGTAAAATATAACACACGGTGCTGCGTCGCCACTTCCTTTGGCTTGAACTTGGCTGGACACGCTACCGCGTGTCTTGATAAGTACATTGAATAAAGATATTATTACGAGTCATCTAGATTAAGTGTTTTTGTGTATGTTATGTTTCTTACGTAATAGAAATGGAAACACTTTATTATATTTCTATAACTTAAAAACGCAGTAAGATGTAGAATAATGATTTTGAGGGTTCCAACAAGGTAGCTAACAAGCACAAACAATATCACTTTTTACTATCCATCCTTATGAAACAGTCATTTTATTCGGATATAATGGTGGGTACTGTACTACTAGTATAACTAAAATTTAGAAAGTATGTGTTTTATTCGAACCGCTATACAGTATAGACCAAAAATATGAAAAATAAAAAAGTGATTGGCCTTTTTAAGTAATAGTTCTTTTCATTTAAGTCAATAAGGTGCTTTCAAAATCGAAAATATTGTGTCCACAAACTCATGATTGTCTTTAAGAAATACTATGAAATACAAATTATTTTGTCTGTCGATAAAATGAGGAATATTTTATTTTGAGTTTATCAAATTACGCAAAAATATATTATATATACGGAATCTTAAGTACTCTATGGAGACTAGAACTTATCCGGTTTTGTAACATAAATTTAAGAATTGCTCAAATTGACTCAACTTCAAAATGCTGTTCTCCATCCAACGTTTTTTCGTAACATCAAATTAAAATTATTATAAAACTTTTTATTTTAATTTCAAAAGCGGTTTCATTTTTGTAAGAGTCATCGTTATCCAAATAAAATTCCAAAAGCAAAGAAGTGTCGGTTTAGAAACGCTAACAGGGGCGAGCATCTGGCGAATTAGAGGGAAGCCTGAATGAATGCTCGTGCACCGTACGTACATAAACACGAAAAATAAATTGCATAAAAGTAAACAGGAGTCACAAAAGGCGCACCGCAAATTGTGTTTTCAGTGGTAGGTCGAGAGCGGGGCGCAGGTGCTTGGCCTTAAGCTCAGGCGGACCGACGCCAAATCCGCATACGACTTTAATTTAACTTTGCTTCACTGAATATTGTTCTTATGCTAAAATTTATAATAATTTCCAGTTATTAAAACACTAGCACGTCATGACCTAAATTGCTGTTTTAATTTGAATTTGTAGAGTTTGTTGCTTAATAAATATTAAAGTGAGGTTTGAAAATATTTACTGAACATTTGATATAAATATAAATTGGACATTGCAAAAGTTTCGAAGTGAGTGGCATTATTAAATAGGTGATTAAGTATTTTAAAAACAATTAATAGGCTTTACATATGCTTACAATATAAAAACTCTAAAATGAAATTTACTTAAGAGACCAAAAGCTATATTCATAAAAAATGTTTTAATGGACACATATTGTATAACTTTGCTTTTGTTATTTTAATTAAAATCCTATCAGGAATACTTTCTTAGATTTACGCGAATATTTGACATTTTAAATAAAACTATCTTTTCGGATTTTGTCGCGGATTTATTTGGATTTTTGTTTCCCGACGTTTCGAATGCTTTACAGCATCCATGGTCACGGGAGAGACTGAGGTGTTACATGTCTTGAATGTATAGTTGTTACAGACAGCCTACCCACAATTAACAAAATGAAAATTGCACCAATTACATTACAATATTTTTTAACTTTAAACATTTTTATAATTTTAATTATAATTGAATATGGAAAATTATTTATTTAATTTTGCTATTATTTTTATAATTATTACAATTTTAAAATATTAATTAGTAATCTATATTTAGTGTTGCCATTATTATATTTATAACCATAAAGAAAAATATAAAATGTAGTATTAATTATTAAAGCCATATAATTGTTCTATGTGTAATTTAAAAAGTTAAAATTAATTAAGGATAATAATTTTAATTTAGTTTGCTATTATTTAAAAACAACTTACTAAGCAACACTATTGATATATACTTTTACAAATGAAAAATGAAAAATATTAGTCTGATAAGCTGTCATTTTGATCTACACAGTATGAACTTACTACATCTGCCTGTCTGTTATGTTTATATTTATTATTTGATTTTATTATATTAATAACAGGATCCCATGACGATGGTAGTACCCAGCCATCTTCCCTATTGAAATTAGGATGTTTTTTAATTTCTATGGCTTCTCGAATCATTCTAGGGCGATATCGGTTTTCTTTCGCCAGGATTTGAGGTCTATCGAAGCGAATATAATGGCTTGGGCGGTCCTGACTATGTTTGCAGAGACAAACGTCGGGAAACAAAAATCCAAATAAATCCGCGACAAAATCCGAAAAGATAGTTTTATTTAAAATCCTATCAGGACTTATTACGGCTAAGTTACGATTCTATTGTATTGTTACAACGAATATAGTTCGCAAATAATAAGTCATTCAATTTGAATAGCTTTATAACATGCTATCTATAATAAATAATCGACTCCGTAAATGTAAATGTATCCTAGATATACAAAATGCTAAACTAAAAATTTAAATATGTACTTGTTCTTAAAATATGCCATACGTTTTATACTGTTCGTAAGAGAAAATCTTTTAAGACGATCGCCGTTACAGATATTGGGAACACAAATGCAATAGTGTGGAATTTGCATAGCCAAAAGGTCGACCACGATACGGTTTGAATATGTAACATGATTTCGAAAACCATGTGATAAAGGCAAAACTCTATTTTATTTATTCCTTATTACAGTTGAAAAAGGATTTTTCCTAATGAGGTCTGGTTTATGTATCTATATATACTTGATAATTTGTACATAAAATAGGTAATAAATTTTACTTTTACATTTGTTTAAATCAAAAAAAACTTACGTGTACTTATTATACCTCATAGTAAATGCTAATTACTTTTGTCTTAAGTAGTTACATTAGTATGGAGCGGTAGCATATTTTTTTTATTTTATATTAATGTCAGTTATATTTAAAATTTAAATATAAAATATTTTATATAAATAGAAAATGGAATTCGAATTTATTCTGTTCAAAGAAATCTATGTAATTCAGGCGTCAAAAACGTTGCTTCAGCGTAGGCTGCACTTGCCACGCACACTTCGCTCAATGCACCGTGAAATAGACTATTTTCCACGTGATTTTATTTATTTATTTCATACATCGATGAAATTTTTCTCCTTTTCTTCTTACAGCTCACTGCGTCAGAAAATCACCGATAACCTGAAACGCTATAGTATACCAAGCGTTTTTCAAAAACGCTTTAATATGCACCCCACGGTATAGAATGCAAATACAAAACTAAATTGAATTACTTTTAATTCTTGAACATTCACGAACTTACACTATGAATTTAAAATGTACGAATAAGTAAGTTCGATGTGTCCCCATCGGAGGTCTTGTTTTATTCTTCGGAGTTTTCTATTTCGAACATTTTTGCTTATAATTTAGAGTCTATATTGGATTGCGTTTTATTGGTGAGATATATCATTTGCCACACTCAAAACGGAAACTGATTCATTTCCGATGCATGGTTGAAGCTCTTTGTGGAGTTCGTCGGCTGCGAATTGCTCACGTTTCCAACATTTGATTGCGACATCAATACCATTGAAATATTGTTGCCCGCCGTTGCCCATATACTGTTATGAATTTTATTCATTTTTAAATATCAAATATCAAATATTAATAAATTTTTCGTTTATCTATCTCGTCTAGTGAAATAATTTAGCATGAAGTAGAACCGGCGCACTCTCTTCCAGACTCGACTGAGAGTTGAGACTACAAAACAGACGCTGACTGGCATCTCCCAAGCGGGCACTTCCCTCCGTCACGTAGCAATCGCGTCTGCAAAATGCAACAAAGCATAAGAATTCAATCTTATGTTTGTTTCAGAGCATTTACTGTGCTAAAAGAGTCAAAATACAGAATAATTTATAAGCGTATCTTAGCTCACAGCATTGTAACTCGCTGTAAAACAGTTGTGTCGTTGCATGTTAAATCACACTTCCTTAAAATTAATATGAAATGTGCCTCGTTCTAATTTAAGCAATTCATAGATTTGCTACATCGTACCGGCCGTCCCAGGTGTTGTTTTCGGCGGTAAAGTTGCTCTAAGCCGCCGTGAGCTGTATTCACTGTGCTCGTAGGCTCGTAAGCTTAGTTAATGCTATCCATTTTCTAGTATAACACGGTAATAAAAAAGTCATTAGTCGTAACCGACCTTCGTCACCTAATGATGACGTCAGCGCGACGATCAAAAGGTAGAGGTAATTTACGAAATCGCTGCAATCGTAAACTTTAATACACTGCGAAACTGTTAGTCGAAACATATTATTAACTGAAATAAACGTGAACGTATTCCGTGAGGCAAAAGTTTGTAGAGTAGCATTAAAAGATTAAAAGTCGACAGTTCGCTCTGGCTGTATCGAATCGAAACTGAAACGATCTCTAGAGTCGACTGCGACATATATTTGCAATGCAGGCGGCGCGTCCGTGGCGAACTTCGCCTGGCGAATGCAAAAATTTAAATTAAAAGCATAAATCAGGCGTGTATCGAGTAAGTTCGAGATTGGTATACATTTCAACTATACGCTTTTAGTAGCTTTAGGATGCAGTATATTCAACGATATCGTTTAAGTCGATGTAAAGTTTTTTCTTGTGATAGCAACAACGAGCGGTTCAATTAATTATAACATTATGAAACCAACATGAAATTGTAGCTTATAGCTTTATTAAAATAATTATCCAGCAACCGTTAAGTGAGAATATCTTGTTACAAGAAAAGCTACTTCTTAGATAATTATGGCATAAGAATTTCATTTTAAGTATTTTTGAATTAATTGCTCCGAAATATTATGAGTATCATAATTCTATAATCTTAATTAAGAGAACTCCAGAACACTCAAATTAGAAATTTTAATCTCCTGAAAATCCGTCTCTCGTGAGTTGCTGGAGTCCGTGAAGTTGAAATATTTTCGTTTCGAAGGTAAAAATTATTCGTGTTTTAATAATATTTCTGCCGTGAAGTGGTGAGCCGCGGAAAGTTGGCACAATCGCAATAAAATAAACGGATAAAAATTATAAGAGCTACGTTAAATTATCAACCAATTTTTTTTTTGTAATTATTACTAGACAGTCTCTACTTAATTTTGTGTTAATGAAAACAAAATCTTTATTCATAAATGTACCGTAATCAAAAAACGAAAATCAACGAAATTATTGACATGGTAAAGATTTGTGAACAACTGAAGTGTAGCAACATCGCCTTGTCAGGAAAAACGTTTTGTTTCAAAAGGAGACCGCTTTTCCGCCTCATTGGCTTATTTATTCCATTTCATTATGATTGTTTCGCAAAAGAAAAAGTGATAAAAAATTTGTGCTTTGATGGCCATATTACCATTGGTAACGGTTTCTTTATTATAGAATATAAAAAGTTAATAATTTAAAATTTTGTATTACATGTTACTCGTAGAAGTCATGTCCAGAAAGTAATCCAAAATGTTCAAAACTTAAATGAATATAAGGCTTTCAAGTAAAATTTTAATCGTATAACTTTTGTTGTACATCAATGTCAATTGTAGAATTAAAGTAAACCATTATTGCTTATCAGGACGATTGTAATTATAAATTAAATAAGAAAGTAACATAGTTGGCTTTTAACTTCTTCATATTACGCTTGAGTGGTGGCGGCAATTTTTATAAAAAACTGGCAAATCTAACAGGCCTAGTCTGCGTAATATATACAAAAAACAATTCGCATATTTATTGGAGTTGAGTTTACTGATAGAATTTGTTTAATAAAAGCCTTTGAAAATTTTACTAATTTCCCTTGCTATTTGTATTTGTTTCTGGAATTCATTTATCACTGTTTTAGCTGTTAGCTCTAAGCCTTTTTTTATTTTATTTTTTACGAAACTATAGCATAATAGATATTTCTATTTACATTTAATTTAAACAGAATATAATGATTAACTGACAAACATTTTTGAATGGCTAACTAAAGTGATTACATAAATAGGAACTCCGTTTTTTGCTAAGGGCAACATCCTAAAATTTCAACTGTAACCTTTTTACTTTACAAAATAGGTAAATGGTAATAATAGAAAGGTTGTATGTATAAGAAATGTAAAGAGCAATGTTCATAATGAGAGTGCAGACTTAATTAGACTCGGTTTGATTGTAGCCGTGAGCGGCGTCAGCTGGGAAGAATGGTGGACCTACGACGGCATTTCAGGTGAGCACAACATTTTCATATTACTGTATATCTTGCATGATACGTGTACTGTGTTATGTGTTATTTATGTTATTTGGAAAATTATTATCATGTTCGGGTAATTTGGCGAAATATTTATATATTTTATGTTATAGTAAAGATAAAGAATAGGTAAAATGAAGGTGTGGTTATTGCTTGCTTCTTAGATTATTCTCATTATATTCTTTATGACAATTTATATAAATATATTAAGTATTAAATTATTTAGCAATGAAAATACAATTGATAAAATTAACTTTATAACCATACCTTTTTGGTCAAAAAATCATTAATATGTTTAAATATTTTTTTACACAACTGTCTAATAAATATTAAAGTCGTATCGATGATACCTTAGACATTTAATTAAATTATAACAGAAATTCGTAGTTGTGTTTGTATGATATATTTCTCTTCAAATAATAATTGCTAGCATTTAAGTAATTTTCTTATACTAGACCACAGGGTATCTACCTATTGGTTCACTGATCGTTAGAACAATTTAAGGCTTGGTAACATGTGTACATAAATGAGTCACTCCCTTTTTAACAGCCGGGTAAACTTTCAGACCCAACGTAAGCGTGCGGGAAATGCGCCCCATTATACACGTTTTGATATAGCGTCAACGCGGCCACCGTGTAAATCTCAATCCGATGACCTACCCCAAACCCGCAAATATTTCGTTTGTGAACCGTATCAATTTCTCTGAACCGATAACATTTTTGCCAGTTTACGTGACATGAAATTTATACGGGCGATTTATCTTGCATTCATATTGCGTTACTCGCAAAATTGTGAGGTGTGTTATCGTATCATTCGGCTACAGATATTTCATACGGTCTTACTTAAAATTTTATCATTCCAATTTTTGGCCAAATATTTTATTTATATCCGTAATTGTAAGCCGGCAGTTGGCAATTAGCATTGATTATATTATTCATATTTGATGCGTGGTTCTGTATTAATACTACGTTTTTCAATAAGCTAATTAAAACTAAAAAAATAATGTGCATAAAATTTGCCATATACTGTTCGAATATTGTCTATCTTTTGAATTGTTCGGACTAAATTTGCAAGCCTATGGACCAATTTTGACGGCACATTACACGTTAGTTTAGTGTATGGGTAAACATTGAAAGTTAGGAGGCAACTTTACGTGAATAAAAGCTGAAAATAAATGTATGAATAAAAACAACATATACATTTGATTAAAATTAACGCATGTTTGGGAAAAATTATAAGAGTAAAATTTTTACTATGTGCGTGCACACCGACAGACAAAAAGCGATATCATAAAGTTAGCTGCATTTATTTTACAAACAGTGAGTTGTGATGTACGGGATGAAATCTTTAGTTATTTTTGTTCTGTTACGCCAAAGAAGTATAAGTTCTTACGAGCGTTTATAAGTATACACACAGTACCTACGTGACACGTTTTTTTTTTATAATATATTTTTATATATGATCAAATATTATGCGTTAAATATACCTTCGATAACATTTGCTAATCACTATAAAATTTATTCTTTTAGATAACTAACAACAAATAAAATATAGGTATTTAATGAGCAAAGAGAAAGATATTAAAAATGTATCGGGAAAATTAGCAGTGGCTACCCGAGTTACGAGTCGAAGTTGCGTGTGCTCGGGCCCCATCCCTTCTAATATTCAAGCCCATTAGTAATCGTTCTTATGATACTTGCCTTTTCCTTTTTCGATAACCGCCGCTATCTAATGAATATTATTTTTGTATCTTACGAGACTTATAATTATTACTCGTTTCAGTAAGTAATGATTTTAAATCTATACAGATAAACAAAATTGAAGTGTCTGTTTGAAATGTCAAAATAACAGCTTTGTACAAAATGAAATATATACGGTACTTACCTATATGAAAAAAAATACTATTTTTTCGTCTGTCAATTGTGGCTAATCTCCATAACGGCTGGACCGATTTGGATAGCTGATGTTATAAAGAGTAACTTAGGCTACTTTTATTTTAGAAAAAGAATTAGGGCTCCACGCAAAAAATTAAAACCCATGAAATTGTGACGAAAATCCGCGTACCGCGTCGCCTACCTACCTACATACGCGTATCCGGGACGCATCCGAGCAAGCTGGGGTAAACCGCTAGTTATTTATAAAAAAGAAAAAAAAATATTTTACATAGCTTTCATGGACTACATTTGTTTAATACGTAGCAATTAGTACTTAAAAAGAGATTAAGAACATAGCAAGCTGTTTGTGGCCACATTTGCTCTAACAATGTTGGCGACGTAATTGCGCTTTTTATATGGGCATTCGACCGCTGCCAAAAATTCACTATTAGATTCGCCTAAATGGCACCTTTAAACAAAATAATATTTTTTTTTTGCTTTGGCTGCAAGTAACGTCAGTTGTATGTGATGCGTCTATTGAACATAATAAAAATCTACACGCTTCTAGCTTCATTAAAAAAGTAATTCATATAAAATTGAAATATAAAACCTTATACCTAAATTAATCATTGAACTAAAAATATGATATCTTATAATACTGAAAAATGTAAACATTAGGGTATAAGGAAGGTATTTCTAAAATTATGATACAAATTCTGAATACGGATAGACAAGTATTCCTATTTCTATTATGCTTCTCCCTGATGATGCCAAAAAAACTTCCACTTAACGCGAACTATGAAGAAGGCGTAACCGCAACCTCTGCGCCGGCTTTCTGCTGCAATTTTCAAGGTCATAAATAATAAAAACGTGAACGCCATCCAAAGCGCTTTGGCTACTTTCATGCAATTTTCTCCATATTGAAATACCAAGTGTGAACGTTTACTCGATTAGATACAGCTTTTAAAGTGTTAAGTACTTGATTATAAAAAGTGTTTTTTATTTAATATTTAATGCAAATTCAAACGAACATATTTAACTGAGTGTTATTTTTTATATTTGCGCACATATGATTACTTTTTTTTTTAAAGTATGATACAACTGCTTTAAAATGTAGCTAAAGTTTACTTGAAGGAATAAAATGATGAAAGTTGCCAATTCGATGTTCCACTGAGGCGCGTGATATTATTTAAAAAAAAATTACATTACGAATTCACATTTTGGCATTGCCTAAATTCATCGGGAAAAATAGAAATAAATGTCATAACAGGTAAATATATTATAAAATCTGCACATGCACTGAGTACTTGTATGCGATAACATGTAAACTTATTATAATTAAAATTTATTGGAATGCAAAAAATTTATATTTTGTTATGGTTTCGACATTAGAATTACTCTTTTATCTCAGAGGCTTTTTCTTCGATTTTTTACAGTAGGTGAAGCAAAGTATCTTATTTCAAGGAAAATACGAATATTCTACATTCCGATTACAACTTCTTTTTTTGATTGTCTGCATATTAGTTTCTTCATGTTTTCTCTGACGGAGATAAAAATCTCGTAAGTCTCTCAAGCCTGCTGAGCCTGTCTGAAACACCCTCCGCAGAACGATGAATGTTCATTAAGGCAATTCATTTTGGTGATCTTTCTCACATCGCTTTACAACGATGCACGTCTATTCAAAATATACTAAAGAAGAAAAATTCAAGTAAAATTTAAGAGCATAAGACAAATTAATTGTAAAAACATACTAATATATAAAAACATACTAATATACAACAAAATAATATGGCTTTTGTTATAACTTGCAAATTAATCAATCGCGGGATGGTCGTGTAGTAACATAACAGAATGCCAACTACGATTAGCTAATGAGCGAGTGGGTTAAGCATTTATGACTGCATAATTATTTGCTTCCCTAAGAAACTGGCAAATCGTTTATATCTCTGCAATTACACGATGTAGCTGTATCCATTTAAAGGGCTATTATGAAGTGTTGATTCGAAAATCTGAAAACTATTTTTAGAATAGATAGTTGAATGAAAGATGAACCATTAAACATACATTAGTAGAATTAGTCAGAACAAAACGCACTGGAAATGTATAATAAGCATGGGAAAAGAATACGTATCAAAGAGATGGAAAATTGAAATGCTTATGAATTTTTTTGATCATATTAATATTTTTATTGTAACAGTGCAATATAAATATTTATAGATATATTATGTACGAAATAAGCCATCCTAAATTAGGCTTAAACACAAAGATATAATGTAAATTATTTATATAACAAAATGATGTAGAAAGATACAATAAGTATAGAAAAATAAAGTAAATGTGCGCAGTGGCGGGCAAAAACTAGTTAAAAATAAAATTCTCTTTTGCTTAATAGCTTGTGGTTGATACGTGAATATATCTTTATGAAGCTTTGTCAGAGCTATAATTAACAGAACATTTTGGTTTCATCTGATTACAATGAACTGCGTATGCACGAAACATGCAGAATATATTTTGATTATGTCAATTATACACAAATTTTAACATTAACATTTGAGATACGTCATATAAAAATAATTAATATTTGAACCTTTTCCATTCATCAACATATTTTTATATAGATATTAAAAAGTTTCTTAATGAGTGTTTAATTTTTAATTAGGCTTATTGATATCAAATAAAACTAATTAAATATTCTTAGTAATTATGTCATATAAAAGAGACTGTAAAACCTCGATAGATTAACGATTATTTTAATGATGTAGGTCCAGCGTTTTGGGGCTTGATCAACCCCGAGTGGTCTCTATGCAACAAAGGACGGCGACAATCACCGGTCAATCTAGAACCGGAGAAGCTGCTCTTCGATCCCAATCTCCGATTTTTACACATAGATAAGCATAGGGTAAATCGGTTTGCTTTTGTCATTTTAGAAATTTTGATATTTTACTAGCTTATGATTAATTCATGTTAGCTTTAAAATTTAATTAAAATAAAAAACCGCAGAAACGTTTATTTTAATACCTAGTACCTTTTAGTATTCCTTCTTAAACATATTTATTAGATAAATTTTCAAGAATGTCTCTGTTCAAAACTTTGAGCCAAAGAAAATTTTATTTTAATCATTATTTAGTACATTAATAATTTATATTTATTTGTCAACAGATCAATGGCCTCATAAGCAACACGGGCCACTCAGTCATCTTCACCGTTGAAAATGAAACCCGACACCACATTAATATTACCGGAGGACCTCTCTCGTACAAATATCAGTTCCATGAAATACACATACACTATGGCCTACATGACCAGTTCGGATCTGAACATGCTATCAACGGATACTCGTTTCCTGCAGAGGTTAGTACTTATTCTCTTTCAGGATGCGCCAAGACGGTCAATTTAAGTTGTTAATCCATACTAATATTATAAATGTGAAAGTGTGTTTGTTTTTTGTACGTCCTTTTTAACGTCGAAACGGAGTGACAGATTGGCGTGATTTTTTGTGTAGTGATGGAAGGGCTGAAGAGTGACATAGACTACATTTTACCGGAGATTATCTCATTCCCACCGGAAAACACGTCATAATCCAATCCAAAAAAATATGTATGATCAGAATTATGTACTCGAAACTTGGTATATTAATACCAAGTTTCAAGAGCATTAGCTCTTCAATACAATTAAATAAATACATGTTTCATCATTTTTCGAAATTCACCCCATAAAGGAGTAAAATAGGGGATGAAAGTTTGTATGAAACCTTTAGAGTTTTTTTTTAGTTTAAGCGCGAGCGAAGCCGCGCGTTCCGCTAGTATTATTATAAATGAAACAATTTCTCAAATGAAAAAAAATGTCAATAGATCAACATTTTGTTCAACGCGACATTGGCAAAGTAAACTGTGCCCAAACTTATTATATATTATATACTTATAAAATGTAGGTATAGGTTGAATAATGATATAGGCTATGTAATATTGGGATAGAATCGTCTGTTTTGATTAGCTCACGATGTCAATAGAATGGATACTCATTTCCTACCAGGTCAGTACGGCTTATCACGTGAAGCCAGTATTTCACGTAATTCAAATAGATATATCACCTGTCAAAACCGACACTAGCTGGCACTCGTACATACGCGTATATGTACCTACACTGTAATTGCTTTACTAAAAACGAGGAGCAAGAAGGCTAGGAAAAAAATGTTTCAAGCTTCGGTTATTTTAGTATATTATATTACATACCTTTAGTCACATTTACTTAGATTTACGTGAATATTTGATATTTTAAAAACTGTTCCTCCTAAAAAATGACCTGAAATACACAGAAAAACACCTTAAAAACACACAGTCATTAAAAGAACGGTCAAAAATAGTGAATTAAAACCTCCTTCGTCTTTTAAAATAAATAAACTATGTATTATTTTATTTATTATTCTGTATAATGGGTAAAAATAGTTTAAAACTTTATTTACAATTTATAAACATTTTTATATATGTATGTAGTTAAAAAAAAGTTATTTTAATCGGAGATTATTAATTTTAAATAGCTAAAACTTTGAAAGAATTATGCGAAAAAAATTAGCATTTTGTACTATACCTACCGGACGGGTAAAAAATATATAAATGTACACGAACATGTCGAGCTTTGGATAGATCTTTAAAATATTTTATTTTTTTGTCTAGAATTATACTATCAATGTCAAGCAGTTTTCAAGATAGGATAGTTTAGTTATACGCATTATTAGTTCGGCAAATTTTTCGCAAAATTAACTTTACATTTCATTATATTTATAAGAAATATAACGAAACACATCTATACTAATATTATAAACAGGCAGAGCTTATGTGTTTGTTTGCACGCGTTAATCTCAGGAACTACTTACTAATTCGATTTGAAAAAATCTTTTTGCCTTAGATAGCCCGTTTGTTGAGAAAGGCTATAATATATCATCTCGGAAAAATGTACGGTGCCCGTGGGATAGTTTTGTTTTTGTCTAGGTACGAACTCGAAGCGAAGCGAGCTTGAGTCGCTAGTAAATAATAAAATGAGTAATTTGCTAACCTAAATATATTAATTTAGTTGTAAACTAAGGAAAATCAATAAATAAAACAATTTATTCGCCGAATCGAGACCCTCGGTTAAATCGGATCTGATTTTATTATTTAATAATAATTAAATTTACTAGTATTATATAACACTTGAATACATAACGATATCATATATGTACATAGGAGAAGGTAACGATAGACTTGTTGAACATGATATCTTCTACGATATAATTAGTGGGTATTCATAGTCGTATTGCAGTCACGTCTAAGTTTCTCTAAGTAAACAAGAGAGATGCGCACTAATTGATTGCAGCACGTATGTAAACATTCATACCTATGTGCATTACACAATATAGCTTAATTTAACAGTACTTAATATTATGTACAAAAAATTGTAAAGATTAAATTATTATTGTAGCGATTAGACGAAAAAAGAAATTTCTGAACCACTGTTAAAATAACGAGTTTTTGGCCGCGATTTTGGCTAACGTGTTAACGGGGCGAGGTTCAAGGGTAACCTACATCTGATCCCAGGATGAAAACTATTTCCCTGCAAAATCTAATGTAAACTTGTTCAACGGTTTAAGCGTGAAAAAGTAATAGACAGAGTTACTTTCATAATTATAATATTAGTATGGATTACCTACTCGTATATTTCCTCAGAACAGGTAAATCGTGTTGAGGATAAAACTTTTTTTCGAAATTATATTGATAGGATATGTATGTATTGAGCCTCCCTTCAATACGAGGGGGGTCAGGCCATAGTCCACGACGCTGGCCGAGTGCGAGTTGGCAGATTTCACATGTCTTTTAAAGATAATCAAACAACTATATTGCTAACTTAAACTTTTATCCCAAATAGAATTTAACCTTGCGACTTTGGCTGTGACATTCACTCACCTTTATATATTAAAGATACATTAAAGTAGATTTTTTTTTCCAATTTTTTTTTAACCTGGGTAGATATAATCGCTTTATTATTCTAAAAACTTCCATTTAGTATCTTTAGTTTTGTACTGACACTGTGTTCACTATTTTTATACAATATAATTTACTATTATAACGTAAAATATATTTTGTGATATCGATATAGATTTTCTCAATCAAATAAATATATATGATAAGTATTTTCGAAGGAAAAGTGGTCAAATATCACTTGGACGAGTCTTTTTATCTTCTACATATCGTTAAGAAATTTAATTCCTTAAAAGCAACCGTATTGTGTTTCCTTTTCTATCAACAGTTCTCCAGCATAATTAATTAAAGCAAAGCAATGCGTGCTACGCTAAACTTCTAAAGCACCTACGTTCGTATTCAAGTCTTACATGCTTGCCGCTCGTAAATTACGATCTAAGCTAACGAAGTAATACAACGTTTCATTACTTACATCTCTGTTAATTTATTTATAAAGTCGTTTCTTATATGCATTGGCAACGAGAGAGATTTTTTGTTGGAAGTTTACAAAGAAGGCGTAACAGATGTTTTCACACATAGGCCGCGCGCTACCCTCGAGGCGTCCAAATCCCTAATGTAATCCCGAAGAACGACTGCGAGCCAACTCAAGCGTGCCTTCTGTTTATTTATGTGACAAATTCTTACGCAGCCACGTTAAATCCAAAATCATGTGCTTATTCTTGGAGGGATTTATTCTTTATCTTTAAGAAAATTTATTAAAGTAACAGCTTATGTTAGATATACGAGTATATTTCAATTGTTATGGAATATTTTTATTTTGTATAATATATACATTTTTGATATAAATAATATTAATCCCTCCACGAGCGCGGACACGCCGGCGTGTCAGTTAACATTAGATTTCTTAGAAATTTAATTAATTTCTTAGAATTTTGCCTGCAAGTGTAAAAGGAATGTTTATTTTTTCTGAGCCATTCTACTACTACTTGTATGCATGAGTTTTATTCGTAAGCTATAAAATATACGAGAATCACATTTTAACTCAAAACTACATGTATGTTATAAATGTTGTTACATCTATTAGTTACGTTGTTCGTCTCACAAAACTGTGGTTCGACATAATATGGTTATGACATGAGCAAAGCGAAAGCTTTCTCTTGTATATTATATTTGTTATTTCATTGTAAAAACTGCTGTATCTCCTGAACGTTTCCTTTGTTCCAGATTCAAATATTTGGTTTCAACTCACAACTTTATTCGAATTTCTCAGAAGCTCTACACAAAGCTCAAGGAATCGTTTCTATTTCTTTACTGTTGCAGGTACGTATTGTATAATTGAAAATATTCAATACAATAATTTTATTGTGTGTCAGATCAAAGGTATTGATGGTAATAATGTTTTATATTGCAATCAATAAGTCGCGCCTCTCTCTCGGAAATTTATTAAAACCTTTTTCTGTTTTAACTTGAGTTCTTAAGTATTCTCTAAGTCATATAAAGAAATACAATAACTACTAATGTAACGTACATATGACTCCTGAAAAAATGATAGATTTAAGAACGATAATTTAGCGTAAAAGTTATCGATAAAATATTACCACCAAAGCCGCACCTTCATAGCTTCCACCCAAACTAGTAGTACTTAATTAAGTAAATTGGAATTTTCTGCCCGGCATTGGATCAGCCGCTACAGCTATTAGTTCAAATTAAGAACTGTCTGAGCTATGATATATAAACAGCTCACGACGCTCTATATTTCACATTAATTACTTAATTTGTATAAAGTTATCTCATAATATATTTACACTTATTTCACTAAATAAAACTTTCTATATAATTCGTTAGAAAAGTAAATTATTTAGTAATAATTTTAAGGTGAAGCAAAATGATAGTAAATGTCTGCGTAAGCAAGATTTTTGAACTAAAAACCAGATTTTTACAACGAAGCACAAAATTTACACGAGTCGTTTCTTCTAATATATTGTATCTCATATTATCTTCTAGGCGCTTTAACTAATGTAGCATCCTTGCCGCTCGGCCGCGTGTCGCTGTGATTTAAAGCTCTGTGAGAGAATCGCCTTATCGCCTTAATATGCTAATATATATCCGCAATAAATTTAAGACAATTATTTACGTGGTTTTTGCAATGTTTGTAAAAAATAGTGCAAGTAGGTTTATGTGAATGCTTTTTTATGAATTTTTATCTAAATTCTATTTGTTTTAAATGAATTTTAATTCAATTTGTTTTGTTTTGCTTCAGTAAAATTACCATGTCAAATAGATTTTTCTTAAATAAGAAATGGGTTCGATTTCTATGCCTTATTAATGTATAGGTATGTCCGTATATGTAGCAGTTAGTTCGTTTCCGGTTCGCCTAATATGAAAGCACAGTCGAAGTGACCACCAACAGTACCATAAAATAGAGAACGAAACATATCTCCTAATTACTACATACTATATAAATATACAAACGTATTAAAGTAGGAGATTCAAAATATCATATTATAACTGTCCTATGTTTAAATTATTATTAAAATTATTATATATGTTCATTTATTTATGTTTTAGTTCATTCGCTATACGAATCCTCTCTTTATTTATCTCAAACATTTTGACTTGTACTCAGACTAAAATTACATTTTTATATTATACGAATATCTCTAAACTGCCGATATATACGAGTATAATATTTACAATAAAACACTTGTAATTAGGACCAATTAGATGCGTAGGTTACCAATGTTTGTAAGGCAGTTTTCTTTAAGCAAAGTTAACTATTAGATCATTTACGACTCCTTAATGAGGGCCTGTTGTTGTCTCAAAGGTGTTTGTTTGCAAGCACGCTCATAACTCTACTCGCTTGCACGCTACACGAAACATGCAAAAGCAAGCAATTTTATACAACTATCTAATGAGACACCTATGTGCCTTTCTCTCAAGTTGTTTATCTAATAATAGAATTAACTTCAGTCTATTTACCATACCATACATGGGTTGATGACATTGTGTTTATTTTTCTCCAAATAACAGCAGTATAGCATAAGTACTTGGAGCCATGATTAAATTTACATTTGATGCAATTAACCTCAGGTAATATTATATTCAACTTGCAATTAGTAATGTTAATTATATCAATTATCACTCAAAATCGGATGAGTTGTACATCATTTATTGCTATAAATGCAATATATTCCTAGATGTTAGGCCATGCTTAGAAAATCTCATGGCAATTATTTAGAATGTATGTGTTTTTCCAGTTGGGAGATTTATCAAACCCTGAACTCAGAATATTGACAGAAGAATTGGAAAATATTAAATACGGTGGTATGTAAAAGCTTTATACTATACTTACATTCACTAATTAAATATTTGTACTAAAATTTAGTATATCTTGGTTATGCTTGCTTATTCTTTAGGGGCTGAAATGCCAGTTAACCGTCTGTCAGTCAGAGGTCTATTACCGGAAACGGACTATTATATGACGTACGACGGCTCAACTACGGCACCGGCCTGCTACGAAACTGTTACATGGATTATTATCAACAAACCTATTTACATCACTAAACAGCAGGTAAGATTACTGCATTCTAGATCAAGTGAACATGTTCTACTAAAATCTACTAAATTCTGTGTTAGGGTTTACATTTTCAGGTCATTCAATATTTAATGGTATTTGAAATAGTATTATAACATATTCAATACGTCAAATACAAAAATGTAATTTCTCGTAACAAAAATAGGACTCGTTTGAAGATTTGAAATATTAAGTCTAAAATCATATAAGACACACATCTAAAGACAAAAAATATAGTAATCTCTATCATAGTCTTGTATTTATCATTAATTCTGGCTTAATTTTATTTAGAAATGCGTCGGTTTAAAATATCTCGGCAATTATTTTAATCACACCCCGATAGTTCTATAATAGCAACGTATATTCGAACCCTTCATAGTTGAAGCAGTAACTCAAATTTTAACTCGACGTTGCTACGTTTATACGAGCCGGTACTTGTAAATCAAACTGAAAACCTGTTCAGTGCTCATGTTTGCATACATCGAGTATAACGGTAATAAAATTCATAAGCAAAGTACAAATGTAACCTGCACTTAATTTTAAAATTAAGAATATAAGTTGTTTATAAAGTCATAAACGTTATTATCCTCGATATTCAACTTACTCGTAGGTACACGAGTATTGTAACGTTGAAAATAGCTAGTTAACTGCTTCTCAATTTATTTTATACAAAGGGAGTAAATTATATCAGATAAAATAGGAAATATCTAGTATAAACGAATCTAGTACGTTTATATTTATTGCCCAAAATGAAGACATAAACAAAAAATATTATAATGTGGTATAAATATATCACCGCCCGCTGGCATATCTTTCATGTGGGGTGTCCATGAACTGGGCCTCAGTTGAGGCCAGCGTAATAACATTTTCATTTGTGCTCACGCTACAATAAACAACTCACGTCCCTCGCCTTTAGACAAAGACTCTACCGTGAATTATGTACGTGTTAAAAGTAAACTGAAAGTGCCGCGTTCTATGGCTGTTATTATAAATCATTGTTTATGTTTTCCGTTTGTTGGTGGGGAAATTAAGTGCTAGTGGAAACTGCCTGCACTCTTGCGGGTAGTTCGCCGAACGCCTCGCTCCCGTGACTATATCACTTTCGGTTTTCAATTTAGTATAATATATAAAAACACTACATTCATATTACAAAAGCAATTTAAAGTTTGTAATATATTCGAAATTGCAGCTATGAAAAGTTGCAACACTCCACACGTAATTCAATATTCTTGAACCATAAAGTAATAGAGCCGTGAAGGGAATGATCATTTGAGTAATCATAAAATCCACAATTCTTAACTTCTACGCGATGTCTATAATCACAATCGGACGGTTTAATACGGCGTAAACAGCGATGGTGGTGATAGCGGCTCGCGTGCGCCGCGCCCGTTAATCCCGCCGCGTTCGCTATACAAACACTACGTATAAAAGAAGTTTCAATTTACTTGAAATCGTTCCATTCCTGAAATACAAACAAGTTTCAAAACAATAGGACATTCAGTACAATTTCAGTTTTAATATGTTGAAAAGCTTTACTTAATTCTGAATAATTCACTGTTTTCATTTTGTATGATCAACTAGCGACTTACCCACGCTTTGCTCGGGTGCGTACTAAGTTAAATGATTTTTTTGTATTTATAATATCACTAGCATTGCCCGCTCTGTCCTGCGCTCTGCCTGCCCGCGTTCAGATGACCAAAAACCAAATTCTTAGGTTTTACATATTAGTATACTCTTACAATGCCGTTTTTGTATTTTTTCTCAAAAAAGAGATATTTCCTCGCGGTAAAAAGTATCCAAACTATAGATTCGGTCTCTGTATCGATAATAATGTTTTTTTCAATAAGATTTTCAATAAGATGTACAGATTCCGCTTAGTTACAATTTTATTATATGTAAAGATGTACAGACAGAGTCACATATGGTAAATTTTTACACTAACGGTAGTATACGTCATAGTATATCTAATATAACTATCGTATATAGTAGTTTTAGCGTGAAGAAGTAACAGTCATACATACACACAATAAGGTGAAATAAGGTGTTGCTCCCAAGATTTAAAACAATGCAGATATGGAGCCCACTAAGTAATTTTACACTATTTAGAGGCACGTTCACTTACCCAGACATAATGCAAGGGAAATAATATCAAAAGTTATTATTATTTCTGGTATTCAACGCCGAACGCGTGTCTCTCACTATTTCTATAAACCTATTTATAAATAATTTTAACCTTTATATACATATACAGTAACTTACCTACATAGTACCTACTATCATCAAAACAGCTCTGTGATTCCTTAAAAATGGGTTGAATATAGCTATAGCAACTGCGTATTTATTTGCAAATCGACCTAAGAAAAATATGTTAATATAATTCCGATTAAGTTAAATTAAAAATGTAATAAAAATAAACTGGAGTTGTTGCTATGATTTTAGGCTACAATTTTCTCTCTGACTCTACTTATAAATATCGACCTATAAAACTTTAACATAATACACAAACAAAACTTTCAATTTGCAATGAAAATTGAATTTGTTAGTCTAAATTCTAAATGTATACATATAATAAAATTGTGAGTCGAATCTGTGCATTAAATATTTAAAAAAAAAATCTTACCATTACAATAAAATGGTAATTATTATCGTTTTTTTGTCTGAGAACGCATCACGAGAAAACCACTGGACAGATTTTGATGAAATTTGGTGTAGTGATAGTGGATTATCCGAGTCAACATATAGAATACTTTTTACTGCGGGTGAATATTACATTTCGGAGAAATCTGTACTAACCGTTAAAACGTACGTAGGTACGACCCTAGCTACAGAGACTTAGAATTTGACTATATAAACGATTGTACAACGTAATATTATACAACTATAAATGTATCTACTGATACCTGATACCTTTATGAAAGTTGAACAACTATACAGATTAATTATATGTACCTATATAAGTTTCTACCTAGAGTGATGTAGGTCATTATCATTAACAATGATTAATTAATTATTAACAATTTGTCATTAACTCGTGAAAGAAATTGATAAATAATTTATGTATATTGTATATGTACATATATGTATATTTTATATGTATCATGAAAGGGTTGATAGAGTGACAAGCTAGAAATTGATGACTTCATACATCATCATTGCAGGGCGGAATTGGCAACGTGTTGTCAGACTTCCAACGTTACGAAATGCATTTACACATACAAACTGTCCCCTTACATTCAAGCTGGATAGACTTTAGCATTTTCATTTTATATAAACAACGAATGTCTCTTATAATGGTTGATACTTAAATCGCTTCCTCCGCCCAAGCCCTAAACGATCGCGTCCGCAACGGCGCGGCGGTCTCAGAGACCATGTGTTTGCGTTATGTTAAACTGAATATTGAACACGAATATCTTGTCTTTTTTTTGCGTGTTTGGGAATCCATAGGTGTCTATACAAGTAGCCTATGCGTTACATACACTCATACAAATTTTCACATTTATTTTCACTTAATAGTAAGGTGATAGATATGTCATAATAAAAATGTATTCAAAATTTATTAAAAAATATATAATAAAATAAACTGATAATGTCTTAAAAGTTTCTCAGGTTGAAGGGATCAAAAATGAATACGTCTTGGAAAGAGTAAACATTATTGGAACATCCCCGAATATATGTCATAAAAAAAAGTAAAAAGAGCTCTTCAAGTATTAAGTCATGAGTAACGTAAGCAGTTAGCTATGCCAGTGAAAGTAGTGAAAAAATGGCGGGCATTTTGGTACATATTAAATAAAATTAGCTCTAAATTGAATAATGAAACGTCGCGGCAAATAACATTAAGATATAATACTGCAAATCTCTTAGAAGACGATCCTGTGCTGTTTATCGCACCTCGGGTCTTTTGTACGACGTTGGTAAACAACAACATTCCCAAGGAGGGTTGATGTCAGGCAGAGGCCGGTCGTAAAACTTTTGCCAAAACCGATCAGCAGTATGGTAGACGTACTGCGCCGACCCTAAGTAATTTGGGAAATGGGCAGGAAGAAGAAGAAAAAGTAAGGTGATAGCGATAGTAAAGTATACGAGTTAAAAGTGAAATTGAATTAATATTTAGAATATTAATATTAGGAATTTTTATTTTCTCGTCTGATTTAAAAAGAGAATAATAATTTAATTAATCTTCCATTAATATCTACATAGAAATAGTTTGAAATTGGATAGCAAACAAATTGAATAACTCTTTTCGTCTATGTTGAACAATTGGGTGGCCAGTTTCATTTATATATTTAGATTTTTTCATTTTTGATATCGTAGTACATAAAAATATATTGTATACCAGAATTGAGAGCATTCTTCTTTTTTGAAGTTGGTTGAAGATGATTAGTTATAATTAGTAATTAATTACTCAATATAACTAAATTAGTAACAACATTATATCATGAAAAGTTTTTCCATCAGTCTGTCTGTTTGACCGGTCTAAATAAAAAATCGGGCAAATTATAATATGACTTTAAATATGTATAGGTAACAAACTCTAAATACTTTTAATCTATACTCTATAGTAATACAGATAAATAAAATTGAAGTGTCTGTTTGTAATTACAAAATAACAGATTTTTACTAAAGGCATATAAAATTATATACGGTACGTAAAAGAAAAACACAATTTTTAAAAAATTTGTCTATCTCTTTGTTCTGGCTAATTTCTGAAACGGCTGGATTGATTTTGGTGGAGCTTTCACTGGCAGATAGCTGATGTTATAAGGAGTAACTTAGGATACTTTTATTTTAGAATAAGAATTAGGGTCCATTCCACTCAAAAAAATGAAAACGTACCTATAGACGAACCCGAGCGAAGCGGGAGTTGGTCGCTAGTTCCTCCTAAAATATGTTTTAAAGGAAACGAAAATTTTTCACAGTGAGTGTCCCCATACACAAACGATTTACAACAAACACAGTTCAACAAAGCTCTTTCGCAAATTTGAAAAGTTAGTTAGTGTTGAACTAACTGTGCGGTTAATTAAATTTATTTGTAACTTTAGCTGCACGGCCTGAGGCGATTGATGCAAGGCGACGCGAGGCACCCGAAGGCCCCTCTAGGAAACAACTTCAGGCCTCCACAGCCACTGCACCACCGGGCAGTGCGGACTAATATTGACTTTGACTTGAGCAAGGTACTTTTAAACTTTATTTTTACTCTAGTTTCGTGCCTTACGTTTCTAACCAAAAAAATATCTTTTTTTATCAAAATTGAAGGTCCAAATACCACCAATAGCCATAATATAATATTCGCGTATATTTTAAGATTAATAGCACTCAAGTAGTCCAAGTTATTGGTAATGGAAATGCAATTCAATAGTACTTTAAATAATTTCCTTAAAATTTACATGTTATGTAAATTTTTTCGTTAACATTTTGATTGTTTCTTATTATATAATAATTTAATTCAATTATATGGTTTTGCAGTATCCTGGCAAAACTTGCCCCAGCATGCATCGTGACATGCACTATAAAGGTAGGAATATTCTAACACTATATATTGTAAATCCCTTTAGGGGTTATGTTAGAGAGAACAATAGATTTATATATACACATGTCTTGTTGTCTTTGTATTATATTCATAATCATACGTAATATCATTCAGCGCCATAACTGTTTTGTAAAGTTAAGTATCTATATCCTTCTATGAGTTTGATGCAATCACCTCAATTTGTATGGATTATACGAGTATAGTCTGATATCGAGTACATACATGTTGATCATTTTATTTGAACGTATTAATTCTATAATTTCTTAAACAAAATTGAATAGTAGGAGAGTAGAAGCTTTATTTATTTTTATTTTTCTCCTCTCCCGCCATACCAATTTCACTATCGTATAACAAAATCACGCTAACAACGCCTTAGTTCCACTCGCCCTGCGCGGGCTCGCAACGCTCCGCTATTTTATTACGGCTACTAATGCCGTTTACTTTTACCAGCAACTTTCACGCCTTTTGAACATCCATCAAGACTGTGTATGTTTTACAGCTTTATATGTTTTTCAGATTCAGTATTTCGTTTATTTGTTGTGATAATGAGCTATATATGGTTTTTGTTTCAATTTTTATAAATCTTTTAAGGAAATATGAAGTCGCTATCTTATGCACATTTTTTTTCTTTTATTTTAATATGATAAACGTACATCAGAGGCGGGGCATCTCGCTGCTAACAAAGTATTTAAACTTTAATTCTTAACTTTTCTTAAAGATGATTCATAGACATATAACATATCATACTGTTTTTTAAATATAACGTTAGTATTAAATGTTATTTCTATACATGGCATTTCCTATACTATAAAAACAAATGTTGACATACAATAGCCATATTAGTAAATAGAGAAGAGCACAATAGAAGTTATTATAGAACAAATCGATGCAGGTGAATTCGATTTCAAGCTATCTTTATGCGCATTCACGTTACGAAAGCCACCATATTAATTTCTATTTCCCTTTCAGCAAAAAGCTGGACACAATATTGAAGAGTTCGACGACGGGACGACGGTAGGCGTTCACACGCGCAACTACCACTCATCGTAGACATGTTATTCGAATAAGTCCTTGTATATACCTTTTGTACAGTCTTGTTAAATTTTGCTTATGAACAGAGCTCCTGTATTTTATGTAGAATATTGTATAAAATTTAGAGCTAAAGTATCCATATATAAAATAGATAAATTAGAAGATTTTATAGGCATACAATTTGTGTGGATAATGTTAGATATTGTTAGTATAATTATTATAGTAATTTAGAGTGGATATTTTCGGATAGATTATTTAAAGCGTGCGTCTCGATGTCAATCGATAGTACCTTAATATATAAAATCATTGGAGCTAACGAATAATTATGGAAATTATGTAAACGGTTTTGTATCCTTTAAGAATGTAGAGTGCAACATTTGAAATGCTAGATGTTTATAAAATATATTATTTATTAAATAATCTATAATGACGACCTAATTGTATAATATAGTTTATAATCTATATTATAAATGATAATCTATTATTATTAGGCAGCGTTTACATATCTGTTTCTTAATTATTTATACGTAAATAACGCATATGTTTAGAAACGAAGTTAAACCATATCAATTTATAATGAAAATATATATATAAATTATTATAAATGAATAGAAATATATATTCCTAGATCTAGTGCTGTAAAGCATCTACGGCTTTAATAAGTTATTTAGAATATGTAAATAATATCAACAATATAATAATCAGCAAAATTGTATCGACTTTAATTCGGCTTATATTTGATGTAGATATTGACATATTATTTGATTAAACAATACTTCTTGACGCCTTTATTTATTATCTTATAACTTTGAATCCCCTTAGAGTAAGTAAGCGTTGAGGAAATTATGATACCATTAAAAGCCCATTTCAGTTAAATTCGAAAACGTTTTGGAAAGTCTACTATCGCGAATTTAAAAATATTAGCCTACGTTTTTCTAAAGCAATGGAGCGCAACCATCTGTTTTAGTGTTTCTTCCTTTCTGTTTGAATTAAAAGGTCATTTGAATTCTATGAGAATCGAAATTGACTCTCGTTTTCGCTATAGTAACTTAATTTAATCGACTTCCATCACAATGTCAGTTACGTTAGACTTTCCAAAATTAGCACTTAACGATGATAATAACGTTACGTTGGTATTTTGAATTTTAAACAGGAAAATATTTAGATTGGTTACACAACTAATATTTTTATATAAAAATCTATTAAAAATGATTTATGATATTAAAATTACTTATAGTAATTTAAAGTATACCAAAAAAAATACCTTACCGTCGCTTACTGCTCATATAAGATTTTACCCATTATATTGTTACTGTCGTCTACTGACTACTTTTAATCAGATAGGCTAATAGTCAGTAAGTTTCATTTATTTCTTATTTTAAATTCTACAACTCCGCATTCTTTTTTACCTTATGAACTAAAGAAAAGAGGCCATAGTAAAATTTCATTTATTTACTTATTTTTCATAAAAATGGAAAATTGTAAAAAAAATATAAATTATATTTTTATTTATTTTATTTTATCTAACTATAAAAATAAACATTGGGCAACAATAATATAAATATTATTATTAATCTCTATTGATTTGCATATATATTAATTATTAATTTTTCCCAAGGAGGGTTGACGTCAGGCAGGCGGCCGGTCGTAAAACTTTTGCTAAATCCTATCAGCAGTACAGAGGATGTACTGCGCCGACCCCAAGTGATTGGGAAATGGGCAGGGAGAAGAAGAAGAAGAATTTGTATACACATAGATAGCTTTTATAGTCCAAGATCCCCGGGCCACCAGACGTCACGTATTTTTTGACGAACAAAATGTGGACGATTGGGTAGTGTTAGTATGTACTAAGATCGCATGCTTACCTGCTAAATTGGTTAGACGGCCAAATTCCAGGTATCAGGTAATCAAGGTACCTCAAAAGATTACTTACCTCACGTACATTCTCCAAGCGGATTTTCACGTATATTTTAAACAATATCGTTAAATATAAGTCATCAATACTCCCAGACACTCCGTCGGCCGTATCGCTTTGCAAACGTTTTAAAGGTCCCAAAATAATTACTTATCTTCACGTAAATTTTGATGCTCCATTTTTCTCTCTCTCCAATGTTCGCCAGACAACTATTTTAAAACCTTTTACAAGAAGACAGACCAATCCAAGGGGCCAATCATCCCCTAAACTCAATTTTAATGCCTCTGTGTGAGTTTAGGGGGTGATTGGCCCCTTGGATTGGTAACTATTGGACAGGTTTTGATGAAATTTAAGATGATGATAAATAGGATGGTAAGTACGTATTCGAGCTGTCACTTTCCAGGATTCCTGCAGGAAAATATAATTTATTTTTATTTAAAAGGGAAGAATAGCTAAAATGGCTGGGCACTACCATCAACGTAGGATCATGTAATTAACATAATAAAATCTAATAACAAAAGTAAAGAAACACGAACAAACAACAACAACAACAAACAAAAATACGGGAATCAAAATAAATCCGCGAAATAATCCGAAACGATAGTTTTATTAAAACGTTTCTATCTAAAAAATCTATTCCAAAAAAGTACCTAAATCATGATTCTATAATACAAGACCTGTAAGAATTGCTTAGTTTTTTGGAAAAACGATTTTGTTTTTTTTTTAATAATAAAACCATAGAAAATTTGATCGAATATGAAGGTCAAAAAACTTTTTAACCTTTCTTCGATTATATTACAAGTAAATATAACTTGTATTAACATATGTAATACGACATCCTATCTAGTAATACATGTCATAAAATTGTAACTAAGCCGAATCTGACATTAGATATTTTTTGGGAAATCTTATTGAAATAAACATTATTATCGATACAGAGACCGAATCTATAGTTTTTAGTTTTTGTCTGTCTGTCTGTCTATCTATCTATCTGTCTGTTACCGCATTACAGAAAAACCACTGGAAGGATTTATGAAATTTGGTATGGTGATAGCTGGTTATCCGGGTCAACATATAGGATACTTTTTACGGCGGGAATTATCATTACTGAGAAAAAATACAAAAACTGCATTGTAAGAGTATACTAATATGTAAAACCTTAGAATTTGGTTTTTGGTCATCCGAACGCGGGCGGAGCCGCGGGCAATGCTAGTACAATATGTAAAAAAAATACAAATATGCTCGAATGATGATCAGATTAATTTTATACTTATTTACGTAATTGGTAGATTGAATTAATAAAAATATAGCAGCTTTTTTTATTTTCTATTCTTCTGTCATCACGATCAGAGTGTTTTAATAAAAAAAGCAATGAATTTGTACAGAATGCACCTAAAAATATTTATTTATTTATTTTATTTATTTATGTACCATAAAATATATGTTATACAAAATAAAGTAACAAAATATAATAACTTATCTCTTTAAGAGATTTCTTCCAGAAACCCTTCAGAAGTGAGAAAATAAGTTAATTTAGTGCGGTGTAGGTGCAGTACAGCATTAAATGGAATTGAGTTAATATTAAAATATGTAAATATTATGATTATATTTATATATATACACATACATACATACAAACATATATACTTACATATACATATGTACATACTTATCTACTTTAATTTATATCTGATTTGATAAATAGTGCTGTTTAATTCTAAATTTAAATGTTGTGAATGAGGGATCATCTTTGAATCCATAACAGAAAAGATTTTTCATAGAATATTGTATTCTATTGAAGAACCACTAATTTGGGCAAATTGACACAAGAACGCACTTGGTCTGCATCTAGGGGGCACTGAATAAGAAAATTATTTATAACCTTACTTGGGATTGAATTTTTATTAGTACAATAGTACAAATAATCGTAAATAAAAAAACATTATTTCTCTGTAAGTAAGGATTATCTTTTTATTTTAATGTCTTATGGTATTGAAAAATAAAATAAGCAACTCTTTATTTTTGTAAAAACTAAACAAAAAATGTTGCATCTATCAGAAATGAATCTGTTACGCTGTACTTTGGTTTGTGTCGGCTGGCACCGACTTAAAACTACTAATCAGTTATTTTTTACTTTTTAGTTTTTAGTGTTTTTTTTTGTTTTTAAGTGGGAAGTACTCTTTCAAACAAAACATGAATTATCCAAATTGGTTAATAAAAGACGGAGTTCTGAGGTAGCAAACATAAAAAAATACAGCCTAATTGAGAACCTCCTCCTTTTTCATGTCGGTTGTAAACCGAGTTCATGTGTTGGTTGCTGCGTCAAAAAAAACACAAATCCATCGATTTTAGCATTTAAAATAATTAGTAATATTTTATTATTATCATTAATGATTAATATTTGTATTATTAATTAAATAATAATTGTATTATATACAAATTATATAAAAAAGAATTATATATAACATAGAAAGATAAAACAATACCATAAGCCATACACGATCGTAATAAACTACTAATTAAGATATATAAGTCGGTTACCCGCTGCAGCGCCACGTTATTGGAAAAGTTTCCGTTCGATATACCTTAATAGACTAATATAAATTGAGTTCATTAAAATAATATTATGTTGCCCAATTGGCACCACGTATTTAATTAAATCAGGGATAGAACCGCTCATATAAACTTCTAAAAAAACATATTTTTTTTAAAACTATAATCAAATATAATAACTTTGTCAAACCAATTCACGTATCACTGAATGAAAAGAGCGTAGATGTTTACAAAGCCCGCTAAACACTTCACGAGTGGGGCGCGTCGAGTATACACTCGAAGACGAGTGTAAGCTCGCACTCGACTCGAGTTTATTTGCTTTATATTCATCTAGTGACAGAGATTTTGCGACACCTACATTCAGTTCTTTACACTTAGCTGCAAAGTTGTGTAGATTAATTCAGTGTGATGCGAATATATTGACATTTCAGTGTAAATATTAATAAAATATATATTTTATACTAGCGGCGAACACTCGCTTCGCTCGGGTTCGGCTCTAGAAAAGCACAAACAGAGCTATCCCACGGGAACCGTTCATTTTTCAGTTTAACAAATGTTCGACGTGATTCTTTAAATTGGCATAACTTTTTTATTTATGCACTGATTGACATGACACAAACACTAAATGTTAAATAAAGCTTACCATAATGTATGTATTAGTGTAAGCCATATCTAAATCGGATAAGCCGTTTCCGAGATTAGCGTGCACAAACGCACAGACACACAGACAAAAATTCTAACAATCATTGTTGATAAAGGTCCCAATAATATTTTTTCTCATATATCTTTCATGTACAGACAGCGATCCGTTACATTTTTATTATATGTATAGATATAGACTAGTTAGTTGGTGTTGCTAGTTCGTAGCAACATATTGACTATTGTATAGAAATCATTTATGAGTCGGGTAGTGATAGGCTACTTCACCGATACCATAATAGACTGAAACTAATTAAAACTCTGATAGATTAGGTAGACTGGTACCTCTATAATAAGTTCTATTAATATGTTTAAGCCACGTTAATTTCAACAGTCAAACCAATAATGGTTTATCCAATAATATTATTGGTTTAGTTATGGAAAAATACAGCATAAAATAAAATATTTTCATTATAAATATAATTTAACATAAACATCACATATTACAAACAATCCAACCAAACCAAGATAATATATAAGTTCTAGTTTAACTTTGGTAGCAGATCGCACACGGTTTGTTGAAGCCAATTTGTCTTTATGCAAATGCATTCGCTGTTCAGGCGAGCTTGTGTGCCACAGAGGTAGTTAGCAAAAACAATGATTGCAGAGAAATGAATTCGATATGAACTGTCTTCTGTCCCCTTGTTACCCGAAATGCAAGCGTCCTATCAGTGGTTTGCAGTCGTATTTTAAAGTTTGCTTCACTAAATTTTAGACTAACTTGTATAGTAAAGTAGGCATGTTGCACATTGTAAATATGAAATGCCACTGTTTGTTTGTTTGTTTTGTAAGGTAGTTCAAAATTTGTGCGCCGTCAACGTTTACAGAATAGTATTTAAAAATGTGTCGTTACCTATTGCGGAACCGTTATTCATATTTTTCTCATGTGAGTGGTTATTATGTCAAAATTGTGATTGAATATTAAAATAAATAGTTTGTGTTGAAAAGTGTTTCTCTCTGAGCATTTCCTTTTAGCTCAGAAGTGAGATGAACTATTGCCCACAAGATCGAAGTTTTTATAACAAGTGACTTATTACTGCCGTTGTTATTTTCATTAAGTTTAACGTATTTTACTGTGAGTGTGTTTTAAATAATGGGGCGTCACAAAAAAGATAAAGACCGTGAATCTCGATTTCGTCGAAAGTTATTAAAAGCAGTGGAAAAACAAAAATTAACGAATAGGTTAGATGCACTAGAACGAGAATTAATAAATTACCGAGATACGCGTCATATTAGTAGTGAGTCATGTGTAAGTGATGAAGTGAATTTAGTGAATAATCCTGTTTTGCGTTCAGTTGTTATCGCTCGTGAATCTGATGTCCCGTTGATATCGAACGAGTCTCCGCGTTGTGTGTCGGTCTGTGAGGGGCCACCTACAACTGCCGCCATGGCGGGACCGGTTGTGGCTGGAATTTCCACAATCCCGCCCATGGCTCCACCGTCAGTACAACCAGGCCCTACTTTGAAACAAGGGCACATGGTGGAACCTCTATCTTCCGCTCCACATTATGCGGTAGGTGCTACGCCATCAAGCAACAAAGAAGCATTATCAGGTATGCTAAGTACTGATAATTTATTAATACAACCATCCTGCTCCCCGGTAGTAAGATATGTGGGTCGGAATGATCCGTTACCCGGATTCGACCCTCGAATGTCAATGATTACAATGGAACAGTGGATTAGAAAAATAGAAGGTTTATCTAACATGTACGGTTGGGATGAAAAAACGATAATATTTAATTGTACATCAAAATTGAAAGGTTATGCCCGTCAGTGGTATGATCAATTGAGTGACTTAAATTTAAATTGGAACGAATGGAAAATACGACTATTAACGGCTTTTCCTTCCAACCGTAGTAAATTAAATATGTTACGTGATTTGGTAAATGTAGTTAGACGACCCGAACAGGATTATTTGCAATTTTATTATGATAAGTTAGCTTTAGGTAATGCGTGTGGTATACCTGAAAGTTTGATAATAGAAGCTATCGTAGGAACAATTGGCAATGATCTTATAGAAGTCGAGGCAATATCAGCCGGTTGTCGTGACTCATCATCGTTATTAAGATATTTGTCATCATTTGCACATCCATTAGTAATAGATCGTAATAAAAAAAAAAAAAATTATGAAAACAAAATAAAATATATGTCAAATGCGTGGTCATATTGCAGCGAAATGTAAAAATAAATTGGGTCATAGTAGTAAATTTAATTTATTGTGTTCCTTTTGCAATAAACGTGGTCATACTGAAAAAGATTGTTATACAAAAAATAAAAAATGCAGTTACTGTGGTAAAAATGGTCATATTAAGGATGAGTGTCTTAAATTAAAGAATCGTAATGCAAATAATGAAAATAATAAATCTAATAAAACCCAACAAGCTGTTCGCGTAATTAAAGATATATCGGGTAGTTCAAAATATTATATGCAGATAAAAATTAACAATAAGCCAACTTCAGCCTTTATCGATTTTGGAAGTACGTGTAATACAATAACTGAAACAGTTTGTAAGGAATTAAATTTAGAATTTTATACTTGTACGCGTAATATCGTTATAAGAGGTTTCGGAGGCTCAAAGATAACACCAATTGGCGAGGTTGTAGTAAATGTTAATGTTGATGAAGCCATTTGTGAAACAAAGGCTTACATTGTTCCTGACATTGCTCAGGGCATTGGTGTTATCATCGGGCAACCTTTTACGGAATATCCAAATGTTTACGTGATTAAAACTCCTACATCATTAAATATGTACAACGCAAATATTTTAACCGAATTACCGAACATACATGAAACAGCAGATCGCATTAGACTCGTGACCGATGAAACTGTCGTTTTATAGCCCGGTGTTAATAAAATTATAGTATCATGTTTACAACCGATTTTTGATTCTGTTTTGATAAATAATACGGAACATAACACTCCGCGTGCAGAATGTATCATTTCAACTTGTGAAAACGATATGATACAGGGTAAAACTGTTTTAAAAGTTTTTAATAAGACTAACGATTTCTTTAGCATACCCGAAGGACATTGCGTTGCACGTGCAACTATAACATGTGGTACAAAACAATATAAAGTAGGAGAAAATCTAGAACTTTACGTACTAGAAAAACTTGAAAATATTTTAAATGATTATTCAGATTGTTTCTCCGGTGATGAAAATAAAATTGGCAAATGTTCTACTAAGATGTGCATTGAATTAACCGATAAAAAACCTATTTACTATAGACCATATCGTATATCTATGGCTGATCGTGAAAAAGTACGTAGTATAGTGAATGACCTTAAAGAGAAAGATATTATTGAAGAATGTAACTCGCCTTACGCAAGCCCTGTACTTCTTGTATCTAAGAAAACCGGTGAATCGCGAATGTGTGTCGACTATCGGGCTCTTAATGAAGTAACTAAAAAAGATTGCTATCCTTTACCGTTAATTCAAGATCAATTAGATCGGTTATCAGAGCAACGGGTGTTCTCGTGTCTAGATGTAAAGGCGGCTTACCATTGTATTCAAATAGAAGATGATTGTAAACAATACACTGCTTTTATAACTCCGGACGGTCATTTTCAATACAAACGTATGAGTTTCGGTCTAGTTAACGCACCGTCAGTGTTTCAAAGGGCGATGGATGAGGTGCTTGGGCCTTTACGATTTACGTGTGCCACAGCATACTTAGATGACATTCTTATTTACTCTCAAAACAATGACGATGCGTTAGATCAATTGCAAGCGGTATTACATAAGATAAGGGACGCTAACATGACTCTGAGACTGGACAAGTGTTCCTTTTTAGTTTCTCAAATAGAATATTTGGGGCATGAAGTTACTAATGGCGAAGTTAGACCCTCTAAGTATAAATTAAACGCCGTTCGTGACTTTCCTGCCCCTCAAAATGTACACCAAGTACGCCAATTTATGGGCTTAGCGAATTACTTTAGGAAATATGTTTCTGGATTTGCTTCTATAGCACGTCCTTTAACGTTGCTTACTAAGAAAGACCAACCTTGGCTTTGGGGTGACGATCAATTGCAAGCCTTTAATCGAATTAAATCTATTTTAGTTAGTCAGCCTGTTCTAGCTTTATTTAATCCGCAAAATGAAACGCAAATTCATACTGACGCGTCGAAATTAGGGCTTGGTGGTATATTAATGCTAAAGCAACCTGATGAGACTTGGAAACCTGTCGCTTATGCAAGTAGGCAAACTACACAAGACGAACAAAAGTATCACAGCTATGAGCTGGAAACATTAGCAGTAGTTATGAGTTTGAATAAATTTAAAGTGTATGTAAGTGGCATTAAGTTTACTATCGTTACTGATTGCAACGCTTTAAGATGGACTTGGTCTAAACGTGATTTATCGCCTCGTATAGCACGTTGGTGGTTAGAAGTACAAAGCTTCGACTTTGATATGGAGTATCGGTCGGGCAAATCTATGGCTCACGTAGACGCATTGAGTCGCAATCCGGTTTCTGTAATGCGAATCAATGAAAAGGATTTAATAGAATATTTACAGTTAGAGGACGATGCAATTCGTTATACTATAGATCAATTAAACAATGAGATTTTAAAAGATAATACAAGAGGTCTAGCTAAAGATTACGTTGTTGAAAATAATGTTTTATTTCGCATTATAAATAATAATAAAAAGGTTGTGGTAGTTCCGCGTAAGTCACGTTGGTCCCTTGTACAAAGTTTCCATGATGATAATGGTCATGTCAATTATAATAAAACCTACGATGCTATAAAATCTAAATATTGGTTCGGTGGTATGCGTCGATTTATTCAGAAGTACGTTTCTAGTTGTATTTCATGTCAATATGCCAAAAAACCAACCGGACGCCGCGTAGGATTATTACATCCCATCGATAGAATTGCAGTGCCATTTCACACAGTTCACGTGGACCATTTGGGTCTTTTTTGTAAAAGTCCTTCCGGTAAAATGCATATACTGGCTATTGTAGATTCATTTACGCGTTTTATCTGGCTCGAAGCCGTACGGGATGTAAGTTGTAAATACGTATTGCAAACATTTGATCAGTTAATAAAAACATTTGGTGTTCCAAGTCGGATAATAAGCGATCGAGGTAAGGCATTTAATTGTAAAGATTTTAAAGAATATTGTGTCCGTAGGCAGATCAAACACGTCATGACCGCTGTAGCTAGTCCTAGAGCGAATGGCCAAGTGGAAAGATTTAACAGGACTGTATTAGGCGCACTTATTGCATATGTTGGAGATGATCAAAATAATTGGGAAAAATATTTGCCAAAAGTTCAACTTGGTCTTAATTCTAATATTAACAACAGTACTGGTAAATCCCCACTTGAATTACTTTACGGTTTTCGCCCTAGGTTGATAGGTGATATCATAGCGCCCTCGAAAGATAACGATTTAGATACCATAAGGGAAGGTGCTTTAACACGTTCTGCCGTTATGTCTAAGGTAGCGAAACAATATTTTGATAAAAAACGGCGAAATGCATCACCATTCAAGGTCGGTGATCAGGTTCTTGCCGAAAGAAAAATACTTCGTAAAGGGTTACGTAGTGGCAAACTATTGCCACGTTTTGATAGCCCTTTTACAATTATTTAAGTCTTGCCCCATGACCGATATGTTATTGAGGGAAAATATGGTCGAAGTCGACCATATAAAAATGTACTAGCTAGAGACAAATTAAAGCTATTTCAATCAGAAACTCATTCGGAGTCAGATTAAAATTGCTTATGACTCTTTCGGGTAAAATTTATAAATTAGTTATAGTTTAAGTACGGCCGTACAATAAGTTAATTATGTTAATTATATAAGGATCCATTAAAATTAAATTTTGTCATGAATTATTTTATTTGTTTTAATAGCGCTAGCCTTAAGAGGCAGGACTGTATATAGTCTCATTCACATATTAACAAAAATATATGTGACTTTAAGAAGTCTCACAGTAATTTTACAATATGTAACCACCTTTAGAGGGGTAATAGATGTCGCGACATAGTTAATATAAAATAAAATTAAAGGAGTCTCAGGACTTCTCATAGCCATTAAGAAGGCTAATTTTTACCGGTCATTAAGAAGACCGAGTTTTACCAGTCTTTAAGAAGACTGAATTCCACCTGTCTTTAAGAAGACTGAGTTCTAGCAGTCATTAAGAAGACTGACTTTCGTCATTAATGAGACTTGAGTATTATTAGTCATTAAGAAGACTCAGGCTTACTAGCCATTAGCACTGCTGAAATCATTCCAGTCACTGGGAAGACATTTTATTAAAGCCATTAAGACGGCTCTTCATGTATGCGTATGGCTAAAAGTCATCTTCATCGATAGTGCGTTATCCATACGACGAGCTGCGCGGGTCGCACAGCAGAATCAGGAAGGCCGACTGTAAGGTAGTTTGAAATTTGTGCGCCGTCAACGTTAAAGAGTGGGGTCTACAGAATAGTATTTAAAAATGTGTCGTTACCTATTGCGGAACAGTTATTCATATTTTTCTCATGTGAGTGGTTATTATGTCAAAATTGTGATTGAATATTAAAATAAATAGTTTGTGTTGAAAAGTGTTTCTCTCTGAGCATTTCCTTTTAGTTTGTTTGTTTGTTTGTTTGTTTGTTTGTTTGTTTGTTTGCTTGCTTGCTTGCTTGTTTATTATACTTTACTGTACTGTTTATTATACAAAAAAATACTGCAAGGTATCTCGAAGATTATATTCTAACGTTTTGATTAACTACACTTACCTTGTTTTACGAATAAACACCAAAATATTAAAGTAATATATTTTTACGTTCCACACTAACATTAACTTTCGATTGAAGTATTATGAATACATATGTTCCGGGTCACACAAAATTTTCATTTTATTTTTAAATTTTGTAGGCATCTACATGCTATAGGCGTCTCTCCCTGACTTGCCCTGTCAATTGTCATCCGGATTCCAAGTACTTGTAAAGTATCAATTAATCGATATGTTTCTTCGAGATGATAGCCTTACCTTGTAGGCTCAATTCAATTTTCAAAATTGGATGGTTGTAGATTAAATTGCATATATATTATTATATATATGCAGTCGCCATATGGCGATTTCAAGTTATAAATATTAAAATATTGTATATTACACTGTATTATTTAAACTTCACCGTACGTACATAAAGAAAAAGCTACAACTTCAAAAAATCATTTTCATAAGTTAAGGAAGTTTTCGGTAGCGAGCGGGAAAGAAGTTTTTACCTCTACTAACTCTTTATTTGTAAGGCTGATCCCGAGGGAAGAAGTTAAAAACAGCTTTCACCGGCCGACGCGTTTGAATAAGTTTTACACAAGTTTTATTGAAGTTGTAACATCGGGTCGCTTTGATATATGTACTTCGGCATCTGTAGCTGGCCAAAGTTAGTGCATCGTAAATTATTCAACCCCTCTCTATACATACTCTCCTTGTCGTATTCAGCTGTTCGGTGACGTTCTGATTTTTGCAGTTGCGCAGGTCTATACCCTTTCAAACTACACACTCGCGTCATACGCTAGTGACGTATACTAAATACTGTATGAGCGAGTGGTACAACATAAAAAATTGGTAATTAATGTCTGGATATTTTTTTTTTTTTTTAGCTAAATATACTTAATTTTTATTAATAATCATATAATTTATATAGTTTAGATAAGATTACGATCTGTTGTTTTGGATAATTTTCATATATGCTCCCGTTTGAGTAATGCGATTTAAAATGGCATTTGTTATATATAGATAGCATAATATATAACTCAATTAGCTTTCACGTAGCTTTCTAATTAGTTTATGAATTTTCGGACCTGGTTCTGTAATTTAAAGGATTACCTCTAACATGTGAAGA